GTCAGGGCAGCTAGGATCTGGAACCAACTTCCAAGAGAAGTGGTGCTGGCTCCTACCCTGGGGGTCTTTAAGAGGAGGCTAGATGTACACCTTGCTGGGGTCGTTTGACCCCAGTACTCTTTCCTGCCATGGCAGGGGGGCGGACTCAATGATCTGCTCAGGTCCCTTCCGACCCTACCAACTATGAAACTATGAAAGTAACATGTTGCTGCTTCCAGTAAAACAAAGTTTGTTTGTTTGTTTGTTTGTTTGTGTTTGTTTGTTTGTTTAACATCTGCAAGCAGACAAAGTGTCTGAAGTATTGCTGAGCTTTATATGTCCTGGTTGATGGAAAAGATGCAAAACAGCCAACAACAAGTCTGCTCCTCCATCAGGGGCTGGGAGTGAATGAATGAGAGTGGAGTCACTACTAAGATCTCTGTTGTCTCAAAAATAAAACAGTATAGCTTCACTTGCTTCATATTGGAAGGTTACCTTTGCAACTATGAGGCCTAGAAACTTTGCCTTTTAAAAAGTGAAAACTTACATTTTGCAGAATCCTAATATGTCAAAAGGGCCACACTAACACCAATATATCAACTAAGCTAGACCTGACCAGATGTGTTGTGCCCCTTGTTTAAATACAATGAAAAGTTAACATAAGGAGAGATTTATTTACCTTGCATGACTCTCATGCAAACCTGCTTAATGTGCTGATCTGTTGGCTCTCTACCCTGTGATAAAAAATTAAATAGATGTTAATGTACAGTAAAAGAAAATCATAGAAAATGATGGTTAGAAGGGAACCCAGGAGGTCATTTAGTCCAACCCCCTCCTCAGAGCAGGACCATCCCCAGCTAGATCATCCCAGCCAAGACTTTGTCTAGCTGAGTCTTAAAAACCTCCAAGGATGGAGATTCCACAACCTCTCTGAGTAACTTATTCCAGTGTTTACTACCCTCATCGTGAGAAAGTGATGAAAACCATAGAAAAATCATACAAAATGATACAATGGAGACTTGCTGAAGGATGACAGAACTTCCAGTCCTTCAGTTTACACATGTTGCTATTCCCACTGATATCAATGGGAGTACCAGTGCAGGGGCTACATATAGGAGCTTCACACACACACCCCCACATACAAGTTAGCACTTGCAATATAATTCCAGGACCAGCTGCAGACTGAGGACCAAAGGTTCCAGTCTTGCAGGTCAGAAATTATTTCATTGTGTAGTTGTCATATTTAAGCATTTATTCTATTTCAGAACATGCAAACATGTTTGAAATCACCTGGGCTTCATGCTTATGTCTCCTGACCTACCAGACCAGGTTCATTCTACTGTCACTGCAACTCTCATTCCACACTACAGCTGAAAGAGAGAAAAATACATGCAGAATAAAACTACCACTTACGGCTGGACCCTGGCTGCCAGGCAGACCCGGAGCACCTTGCTCACCCTGCATACCACGAGGTCCAGGTGATCCACGTGGCCCTTCCATGCCAGGCAATCCACGACTTCCTTCAGGCCCCCGAGAACCAGGTTCTCCAGGGTTACCAGCCTAAAATGAAAGACAAGGAGCTTGCAGGACTGCATGCTTGCAATATAAGCCATCCACTTAGCTTCTTCAATACTGGACATGTTATATCCTGTTCACTCATGCTTTCTCATTGCTTCCTTTGAAAGATGGAACCTCTTTCAAATTCCATTGTCCACCTACTTTCTGAGTCTTTACTTTTGTAAACAAATAATATGCTTTCAGCTGAAAAAGGAATAAAGCAAGATAAGAAACATGGTAAGACCCAGAGCAAATAAGGACCCATGTTCTGATTTATGTGTGTTCTATTATACTTGTTGGACCAGAGCAGTAAGCAGCACCACATATATCCATAAGAAACACAAAGAGCCCTCATGCCTTTCTGTCCCAATGATCTCCAAGAGATAACCTTTCCAGTGTCAGAGGCAGGAAGAGTGTGCCATGGGACTGACACTGCCATTTCTGAGGCAGACAGGCTTACATCTGCAAGTACACAGCCCCCTTTCTTATGTTCCATAAATCCTAGGTGCAAGGATCCCCACAGTTGTCACACTGCAAATAAAAAACAGGAGTAATTTAATTTTTAGAAAGTGATAGTATCCAGACACCAGGAATTTGTTCTTTGTGTCTAAAGTAGGGCTTGTTTAACATAGGTCTACATACTGTTTTGAGGACCCCAGCATCTTCATCTGGGGAAACAATCATTTTTCATAATGAGCTGATGAGAAAGGAGGTTCTCCATATAGCAAGAGCATATTCTTTACACCTATTCCTTACATTCCAAGTCTCCTCCATGAGACTGCATAAGCAATGCAAGTCCCTGAAGCAAAATGGAACTTGCTTATAATAGCTTTATACAAATCCTATGAATATCTTAAATATTTAAAGTAGCATAAGAATCAGAAAAGCCATAAATGAAGATGTCCTATTTTGTCATCCAGAAACATAGAATCTACAAATTAAATATAGGACACACTGAAGACAGGTAATCCAAGTCAATTTAAAAATGTAGTTTCATGACCACAAATACCTTACTTTTCAGACAGACAGAATTGAAACAGTCAGTGACAATGACCACAGTCCTTTTCACTTGCTAAGTAAAAAACTGCAAGGGTTTTGACATCCACTTCTTTGGCATTAAGGAAAAAACAAACAGTTTTTAACTGACAGTGAAGTCTGTTTTTTCAAGGCAGCCCAGTGTTTCACAGCCCCATGTCTCAGCCAGCTGTGAAAGGCATTGCCCTGTAATTGTGCCTCCTGGTCATATACGGCTGCTGTGCAGGCAGCAAGATCCATCTCATTGCTCCCCCTTCTGCCCTCAGCTAGAAAGGAATGGTTAAGAAGAGGTAAAAATCAAAGCAAAGTTAGTGACCATATTTTGGCTTCTGGTTCTCATACCCACCTACAGATGGGCACAACAGATCCCTCATTGCACTGCTCCAGAAAACATGATCTAAGCACCCACCCCGTATCACCTTACCACAGCTGCCTCAAATAGTCTCCAAGCAGTCCTATCCATCCTCTAGCACCAGCTCATCTAACCTAACACCAGCAGGCATTTTTTGTATAATTTTATGTCCTACCATGTCACTGTCAATATAATTTACAGATATATTAAATGATTTATAATTGGCATGAAAGGCCATACATGGAACTGCACAAAGCTTGGAAGCAATGCTTTTGACACTGTAAAGTCTGTTTCACTTAATTGTTACCACTGAAATGGTTTACACATGCATTCACCAAAGCACGTATATGCACGCATATGCATTAACTTTAATTAATTTTCAATGCCTGCATGCAAACCAGAACTCCATCAATGCAAAGCCAGGATGTTTAGACTAGAAATTCTGAATATGTTTTAAAAATTCTAGACCTCTGAAACTAAAATTAAGACAATGAAAGAAAATATTTTTAGCCTGGGTCAGTTTGGATCCAAATATCCCAGGCCCTGTCTTTTTTTTCTGCTCAGCATACTTTATATATTCAGAACTAGAGAAAGGAAGGATGGTCTCACAGTGATGGTGCTTGTCTGGATCTCTAGAGATTTAGGTTCCAAGTCCAGTTCTATCATAGATTTTTTGTGCGACATGAGGCAAGTCATTTAATGTCTTTCCATTCTCTTTCAGATGCAGTCAATAATATTTTCCTGCTCCACAGGGACATATTAGCATTTGCAAGGCCCTCAAATGATGGAAACTGCAAGTTAAGCTGGATCAATAGATAACGAGGGGAGGGAGGGCAGAGTATGTTGCTGACTCAATAGGTTGCTGGAGTCAATGGTCACACAACCGTGATACTGTAGGCTGACTGCAAAAGTTTATATACTAAAAAATTATTCCATCAAAACAGATGAATGAGTATCAATCTGGGGTATGCATATAAAACAGGTTTTAGACAAAGAACTAGTTCTGCCCTAATTCATACCAGGTGCAATCTCACCTATCCCTGGCTACAAACTCACTATCTCCCCATCTGACTCTGTAGCAGCTCCTTCTGACTTACCTCCCTCTTCCCATCATCATATGCTCCTTTACCTTGTCAAATGAGCTTTAGTTCAAGTGCCCTGCTGCCTCTTTGAGGCACAGGGCCACCAACACATGAGATACTGCAGCGCTTTAATCAGAGTGGCTCTTGGAGCTGCTCTAATTAAAGCACCACCCGAGCACATGTAAAATTAAGTACAGACACCAATTAGCACTAAATTCTACACAAACATGAATTCTGTAACAGCATGAAATGGGGAAAAACTCTTTGAACAGATCTTCTGTTGTGAAATACATATTAATGTATAGACTATGATCTTGCAAATATGTAGACATATGCTACACTGAACACAGATGAATAGATGCCATTACTCACTTGCTTAAAAACAGGCATGGGTTTGTAACACTGAGGCCTTTCTGTGTGTCATCTGCTTCAAAGTAACTTTCCATAAGGCCATTCTGACCCTGTGGTACGTAAAGACTAAATCAGGGAAGTTTAGTCGACACAACGAAATAAGCTACTGTGGTTCTACTTTCACTGACTGCGGGATCAGAGCAGGCACACAAATAGTTACTTCAGTGCAGCAGATACTCATGCCGGTTTTAACTCTCTGTAATTTGCCTTTTTGTCCATAACCTTAAGCCATGGGCTGGCAACATGCTGTGCATTCATGAACCCCTGTATTATGTTCTTTGAGGGACCCTTTTTTTGCAATAAGCTGTATCGTCTCTAAGGGAGTTCACTAATACAGCCATACTAGTACACCTAATGTAAGTGTAGGCAAGGCCTTAGATTTAATTCTTCAGGGCAGGATTTGCTTCTTAGTTTCTATACAGCAGTCAGCACAGTGAGGCCCTGTCCTGCTTGGGGCATTTGGGTCTAATTCAACAACAACAACAACAATAATAATACCAAACACTTTAGGCTCCAACAATCTACCAGAAATAAATCAATTCCTAATTCAAGGGGAATTAACCAGCAGTAATTTTTATCAAATCCACAAGATGGAGCAATTTCAGTTCTACTAGAATTGTGTGGCAGGCACCTGATTTCTGGGCTGCAGAAAGGAAATCCAATGGGTATGATTCAGCATACACATCACAAAGACAGTGATTTCCCTCTTTAAGCTGAACAGCACCCTATCTAACAAGAAATCCCTGCATCCTTCAACTGCTTCCTTCTCCATATATTTGGCCAGCTGTCAGACTCCCTGCTGGTCTAACCCTCTCGCCCCACAACCCCTGTGGGACCATTTACCAGAAGGATTATTCTAGGATCTGAGCAAAAAACAGTATTTTATGCACACCCACTCATAAGAGCCAACAGATTTCTCATGTGTCAATCCACTCTCCATGTCCTCCCATAAAGTCCCCTGTACAAACTGTACACTGTATAAAATTAAGCCTTCTGGCCAGAGTGTTTCAGACTCACTTCCTTTTTAGACACGATGATCTCTATCCAAAATGGTAAAATACAGATTACCAAATACAAAAAACCCATGCACCAACATACATATCTGCACAGAACCAGCAATCACCCTAATAAACAGCCAAGCCCTCCAGGACCACCAAATTTGCACTAAGGAGACCACCCGTGATCATCACCTCGCAAATCTCAAAAGGGCTTCACTCAACAAGGACACTCCTCCAGAGAGATCGATCACATTTTTGAAAGAGCCACCTGGATACCACTTGAAGAACTGCTGCAGTACAGAAGGAAAACCCTCATGAATTGCACACCGCTGGTTATGATATATCACCCCTCCCTGGAACCTATATGGAAAATCCTCAGACATTTGCAACCCATACTAGAAGATGACGCAATTCTTAAAGCTATCTTCCCAGAACCACCCATCCTAGACTTTAAACAAGCACAGAACCTCACTAACCTCATCATCAGAAGCAAACTTCCTATGGCTCAAAATTCACCAAATGGATCCAAACCATGCCATGCCAAGAAATGTAAAACCTGCCAACATATCTCCACTACCCCACAATTGCTACACCCTACAACAGAGCCATCAACATTCCTGGATCTGACACCTGTACTTCCAGAAATGTAATATATCTCATCCAGTGCAACAAATGCCCTGATGGAAAATATGTAGTTGAAACCAAACACAACTGTGCACCAGAATAAACGCACACTAGAAATCTATCAAAGACAAGAATACCCAATTAAACGGTGGAGGCACATTTCTCACAAGAAACCACTCTCTCTCCAATTTGTCAGTTCTAATGCTCAAAAGAAATTTACAAAACATCTTTCACAAACAAGCCTATGAACTTCACTTCATAAATCTACGGAACTAAATATAGACATTAGATTTGTGACACATTATAACCTGCCTAACATTTGAGTCCCCTGGTAACCTCTCTACGATTTATCAGCTATATTCAATCCCCTTTCCATCCCCTCCCCCACTACGCCTGTCTCTCATCCATTGACTACCTTAATTTACATTTTTCACTGATGGTCTGTCTCGCATGCATACTGGCCTGTGGCTTCTTTATTATTCAATCCAGGAAGAGCACATACCAACTGCAGACACTTCCTCAACCTAATGAAAGGGTATTTGTACCCAAAAGCTTGCAAAGAAGAATTTTTCCGACTATTTGAGTTGGTCTAATAAAAGATATCAGATTTACCTAAAGAACGTTATTTGCCTCAGACTCACAACTGCACTTTTCATTAAACACAATAGCAGAGCTCCTCCTCATAGCATTCATTCTCAACTCCTATGGTAAGAATAGTTATTGCTACAGACTAGCTTTCAGACACACAATATTGCCAGCCTTTCATAATCAGAAAGGATCATGTTCTGGCCTCAGAAACTCTTTCCCTCTATTATAAATAGACTTCTGCTACTTTTCCACATCAGCCCCTTTGTGTCTTCATTTCAGAACAATGAAGTTCATGGAGTTTTGACTATAGTTCTGCTCTGTCCACCAGTTTTGTGATGGAAAGAGGAGAGTATACTGCCTACAGGCCACTGCATTATCTGTTCTTAAACATCACCGGTACAAAATATGCAGTTCTGTTCTGCCCAAGCTTAGGCAGAGAGGCCGTTCTTTTTCTGAAAACTGACATAGTTCCAAAGTCCTTTTTAAAGGCAAGCTAGAATGCTATTTCTTTTGCCTGGGGTCTAATTTCCAAGAGCAGAATTCATTTTCAAAAGGAGCTAGTTTTCATATTAATCATCTAGAATTTTTAAAAAATTAAATGGACATGGAAGCTCATTTGCTTAAACTGCAGTTCTTGAAAAGTGAAATATTTGTACTCTGTTTCTTAAACCAGAAAACCATCTACTTGATTGATTATGCCTTTGAATTTCTGTAGCAGTGTGGTTCATCATACTTACAGATCCCTTTGGGCCCGGCAGTCCCATATCACCCTAGACAAAAATAAAATGATTTATGTCAGACCAGGGAATTCACATGCAATTACAAATACAATATGCTGGACAGGATTTCCTCAATACTTAACAAATGAGCATACTATTAAAACTGAAGGCATTTGCTGAAGTACAAAAACTTAGACCAATAAAGCAATCAAAAGAATGGAAACCAGGCATAAATACTTTCTTGTGAAGAAAGTATAGATTTCATTTATACCATTAGTATTCACACCTCAGAGATATTTTTGCTACATATAAACAAAAAAGTATTTTAAGGCATTATTATGCACTTTAATTCAGATTTTTAAAATATGAGCATGTAGAGCCAGATGCCATCCCCATCTGAAATAATAGGAACTGGTTGGAAATATTTAGATGAATATCCAGCCTTGCGCAACAGCTGAACCAAGCTATTTCACAAGACTGTTTCTAGTTTGATTATATTTCCTGGGAAACTGGTCAAGTTTCACCTGGAGACCCAGATATCCTCGCTCCCAAGCTCCTCAGTCATCCAACTTTTCAAGATCCCTAACCCCTATGCAGCCTGCCACCTAGGCTTCCCAAAAGCCAGGTTTCCTAATAAACCTGTGGTGAGAAAAGCAATTCTGATTCATGGGGGCTCAGAGATTTTTATCTAGAATGCAGATAGATTAAAAAAATTATCTAGAATGCAGATAGATTAAAAAAAATCTCAGAATCTTCCATAAAACAGAATTATCATTCTCCACCCAGCTCTATGCATGAGATATAGAAGCATTTAACCATAGCACCTTGAGATATTTTCCTGCAATTGGGATTAATGAGATTCCATAGATTGGAAATGGATCGTATCAATAGGCAGCAACTATAAAATGAACCCATGCTTCTCATAGATGATCTACACTGAACATATTTAATTGTCATCAGTTTAGAAAAAGAGTCCGTAACACCAGGCTCACACCCACACTGCAAATACGTGGGTATGTGGGGGGAAGGATTTCTTTAGTGAGGAGCAAACTTCCTGGGCCACTACTGTAAATTTCGAAACTTGTTCCTAAACTTTTTGTTTTTTCAAGTTTCATCTTGCAGTGTTGAACATACGACTGATGTATTAATGGTACTGATCATGGATTGACGGTATCATAGATTGAAAGTATCTTGCTATAGAAACATATTAAGAGGGAGCAAATTAGACTCATTGGACCAGCGTGCTGCTGTGTTTTGTTTACATATGCATGTAAATACAAAACATAAGCTCTTGATTTTTTAAGGGAGCCAGAAGGATTTCAAAGCAGCAACAGCAATGCAGCCAGGCCCACAAAACTGCAAAATTCTGCAGCAAGTCAAAAGAGTGTGTGCCATGATGACATAGGAGGGTTTTCAGGGAATTTAGTTTTCAATGACAAAAAACAGACACATTATAAAAGGTACTACAGTAGTAGACCAAAAGGTAAAAATGCACCAAATTAATACGTGTTTGTAGATGAAATGACAATAAGGTCTTACCAGGTCACCCCTTCCTCCTGGTTCTCCTTCAGATCCAGCAGTACCCTACAGCAAAGAAAGAGACATGGTAAGTCTGAAATGCCTTAAGTAATTTAAGATATAGAATCACTGAGTAATGGATATCATGACTCATAAGTAAACCATCTGTGCTTTGCATTAGAAGACTTACTTGTTCACCTTTAGGACCTGGCTCACCAACTGTGCCCTAAAAGTAAAATAAAAAATAAAGTATTATACATTTTGAAATTACTGAGACTTTACAGTAGAGTTCACTGTACTGTCTTCACAGCTAAAAGCATGTAATCTTCAACCACGATTCTTGGAGTAATACTTGAAGTATTCTTTTTTCTTCCTTCCTCCATTTCTTAATTACTTTTATCAAATGTATTCCTAGAGAGAACTCTAGGACAATCCAGGAGATTTTTCAATGTACTAATAAATAATTTTTACATTTATGCAAAGATCAAATCAGAAGTCACTGTTCTTATGGCAACTCCTATAAAGGAGGACAGGTAAAAAGGAAAGAAGAGCAAATCTTCATATCTCACGCAAATTCTTTAATAATTTGGGCCTAGTTCACATACAGGGGTATATCATGTTGGACTGCATCTGAAATTTTCCAAACCATTAGTCCATGTGTAGACACCTGTACAGATTAATTTTTTCTAGCTCCCCACTAAAAACAAGCATTTGGAAATAGAAATGCAGAGGATTTCAGCTTCAGTTCAAGTCCAAAGCAGAAAGTTAGTTACCAAAATCCACTATAATGTGATGGCTGTTCATTAAGGTCCACTAGGGTAAAATAAGTGCCCAATACCAATGATCGTTAAACTCATGCAAAATATTTCAATAGGCTTTGGCAATCACTATACAGTTAGTAGCAGAAAAATGTTCACAATCAAACACCCCTATCCTAACAAACTCTGGTTGCTATTGTTAGTGGCAGTCTCAGTAGAGATGCCAAGGAATGAATGGACGTGTAGAGTGAAATGTTCTCTCATAATTAGACATGTATCCACCTAAAGGCTGAGGCATATGGATAGGGTAGATAGGAGCAATTTGCACTGGTGCCATTACTCATGTTGTGTAGGTTGAATGGATAAAGAGAGGATTTTCATGTTTACTGCCAATCTGGGACACTCAATTCATTGTAAATGAAATTAAAGCTAATGAGAGCTGTTTCAATTAGACAAAACCTTTCTGATTTGTTTAATGAACACACACACACATCATGCAGTGCTATTCAGTCTATTCAGTTTCCTTTCTTGTGATCTTTTGTGCAGCTGTAATCCTGTTGGCAAGAATTGTGACGTAGAAAAAATAAGGTTAATTGGTTTAAAAAATATTCAAAATTATATTCAACATTTCCTCTAATGGTTAGGCAAACAACCCCTGTATTGCATTTATATATATTCACAATGAAAATGCTTCTAAAACATGCACTGTAATTAAGGCAATACAGCACACATAACATAACATAGTCACCTACTACAGGCTAGCCTGGGGCTTTCAAACCACAACCCTGCATAGAATTGTCCTTCTATATGAGCAGGACTAGATTCTTTGCCAAGCCTAAGCTTTTTGTCTTGAGTCTGACTATTAGCATATGCTCTTTTCCACATTTAGCCCCACCCTGCATGTGTTGAGGAGGAGGAGGTTGCATAAAAAGCCAAGAGCTCTACCTAACTATGAGAAATATGTGAAATTATGTTCAATACTAAACACCATGTTAATGGAAAATATAAGCCTTAATTCCAATAATTTTGTCATCTTGCCTTGCTTACCAATTCAAGCTTTATTTTAGTGGCCATGGGGTATAGCAGCACACTGGGCACTCTGGATGGGAGCAGTTCAGTGCAGGGCTACTGCTGCCCTGCTCTGCTCCTTTACAGCAGCCAGGGAAAGCTCCAGGGTCCCTCAGGTACCAGCCCCAGGTTGGCAATGGGCACTGGGGTCAGGCCTGGGCTCTGGGGAGGGGAGGCACAGAGGGAGCTGTCCTGCCTCCAGGGTAGCTGTCTCTCAGCCCTGCACCCCTGCCCCAGGCAGCTGCCTGCTGCCAGGACCCAACTCTGAGATCAATGCCAAGGTGGGGACATTGTCCCCTATCCCAGCAGCTGCCTGCTACCAGGCCCCTACTCTGAGATTTAATCCTGGTCAGCTGTCTACATGTGTGCTAATGTGCAGTAGGTACTGTACAGTGATTCTATTACAGTAGCCTATTTTACTGTGCAGTAGCTGCTGCACAGTTACATAGTGATACTTTACTGCACAGTAGATGAATCTACTGTGCAGTAAAGAGTCTTATGTAGATGCACCAACTGACTCTAAAACATTAGCATTAAAACCAAAGCTATGTATGCCACCTGAAAGCTGGTAAGCCCATTTTTCAAATGCTACAGAACATTCATCCATGATTTTAAAAAAGTTTAAAAGCGAAGGAGGGATACCTGCTACTTGGGAGCACACATCAACTGTTTCAACTATACTGTTACATCTTTCCACTCCTGTACTGGTCTGAAACAGGTTTGGTATTAGAGTAGTGTAGCTCAATTTATGTTGATATAGCAGCAGATGGATGTAACATTTCTGTTGGAACAGCTTACCTGGTATAATTTAACATATAATATATCAAATTTAATACCAAATAAGTGTGTCCACTTTCTAAGACTAGTGTTGAAGAAAGAATAAAGCTGTGGATATAGTTAGATCCTATTCAGTATTGTCTCAATATAGGAAAACTAAACAAAAAAGGTTGGGGAGTTTTTTTAAAGATGGGCTAAGTTAATTTCTAGCAAAACAGCACAGGGAGAAACACTGGGGATGAACTTGACTGTATAATTTTAAAAAACAGCTCTGCCAAAATACCCTGGCAAATTATTTAGGTCAGTAAATGGAAGCCTCTCGAAAACACTCTAAATCTACGACAAGGCACTCAGGAATTGCTTGCATGGCTCAAAGCAAAGTCATGTAAAGAACCCACACTAGCTCTGAACCATCTGGTATGTCTACAGAGCACATGCTGTGTGTGTTCATGACCATAAAGAGAGCATTTTCTTGGATCCCAGAACCAGCATAACCACAGTAAGTCTACCCGAGCTAATTAACTCTGCTTTTCACCTTCTCAATAGAGTTGATTAATCCATGCAGAGCCTCATGCTGATGTGACTAAAATGCTTCAATTCAGAACAAGTAGAGCACTTAACTGATGTAATAAAAAAGAGGAGCTTTCAAGTAACTGTCTGGCAGAAGGAGCTTGACAGCTGATGAGAAGTTTGCAAACCTACTCACATTTTAA